GCCCATAGAAGCAGTAGTCAAGAAATTAAACAACATATTGTATTGGGCAAATCTGCTGCAAAAGCCCTCTTTAAAGTGTTAAAAAGCAAAGATGTCACTTTGAGGACTAAGGTGTGCCTGATCCAAGTCATGGTGTTTTCAATTGCCTCATATGCACGCAAAAGCTAGACAATGAATAAAGAAGGCTGAAGAAGAATTGATGCATTTGAATTATGGTGTCAGTGAAGAATATTGAATATACCATGGACTGCCAGAAGAACAAACAAGTCTGTCTTGGAAGAAGTACAGCCAGAGTGCTCCTTGGAAGCGAGGATGGTGAGACTTCATCTCACATACTTTGGACATGTTATCAGGAGGGACCAGTCCCTGGAGAAGGACATCATGCTTGCTGAAGTAGAGGGTCAGTGAAAAAGAGGGAGACACAGCGGCTGCAACAATGGGCTCAAACGTAGCAATGACTGTGAGGGTGTTACAGGACTGGGCAGTGTTTCGGTCTGTTGTACGTAGGGTCTCTATGAGTCGGAACTGACTTGACAGCACCTAACAACAACAAGTTTAATCTCCAAGGACAAAATCCATAGCTTTGGACCTTGGAACCATTTCTCAGTAGACAAATATTCTGGTTCTCTTATATATCTCACAGTCTGTATGCAGTTTAGCTAAAGAGGCTGAAAGACACCCTCAGTCTGCCAATTTTGATTTTCAGGCAGGGTTCCTTTGCACCACTACCCCTGCTGTGTAGTTCTCCTACAGGTTAAGGTACCGGTACCAGTTGCCCTTGAGTCAACTCCAACTCATTGCAACTTTACCTATAACCAAGCAAAAGGTTGCCCAGTCCTGCATTAATACTATGCTATTCTATGCTGTGCTATGCTATACTATACTGTACTAGCTGCCATCAAATTGACTCCGACTCATTGCAATCCCACATTTGTCAGAGTAGAACTGTGTTCCATCAGGTTCTCGATGGCTGATATTTCAGAAATAGATCACCAGGGCTTTCTTCCAAGGTGCCTCTGGATGGATTTGAACCTCCAACCTTTCAGTCAGCAGCCGAGCGCATAAACTATTTGCATCACCTAGGGACTCCAGAGGTTAAGATAAAGAGTAACACTAACGGCTATCATTTACTGGGACTTAGTGTTACGCTTTATCTTAACCTCTGGAGTCCCTAGGTGATGCAAATAGTTAATGCGCTCGGCTGCTGACTGAAAGGTTGGAGGTTCAAATCCATCCAGAGGCACCTCTGAAGAAAGGCCTGGTGATCTACTTCTAAAAAACCTGTCATTGAAAACCTGATGGAACATAGTTCTACTCTGACATACATGAGGTCACCATGAGTTAGAATCGGCTCAATGGCAATTAGTAGGTCAATTCTTCTATTCCAGGCATTAGGCTAACTGTTTTACATTATTTAATTCCCCTGTACCCCCACCACCACACACACACAGATCATATGAGGTAGGTGCTTTCCTTATTGCCATTTACATATAGGTGTGATGAGGCACAGAAAAGTTAAGGAACTTGCCCAAGGTTACACAACCAGAAAATGGCAGAGGCAGACAGTGAACTCCAGAACCTGTGCTCTTAGCCACCAGACTTTCTTGCAGGTAGCCACCTCCTTCTTTGAAGTAAAGGACTACCCTCGAGCAGTATCTGACAAAGGCGACGCTTAATGCATGATCCAGCGAAACTGATGGTAGCAAACGTAAAACAAAGCTTCATTCCGGCTATTACTGACTTGACTTGGGTCATCTGGATATGAATGGTAACACACCTCCTGTGTTAGTGGCTTTATTGGGAGGGCACGTGGTAGATGGGCCAGGGTACAGGTTTTGGATTAAACACTTACTCCATCTGTTCTTTCACTTTTCACCCAAATATTTATTGGGTGCATAAAGTGGTCTAAGAGCCCTGGTGGTGCGGTGGCTAAGAGCTCAGCTGCTAACCAAAAGGTCGGCAGTTTGAATCCGCCAGCCGCTTCTTGGAAACTCAACATCTTGTGAGCTCTATTTTCTCATTTATACAACGGAGTTAATACTATCACAAAGATTGTTATGAAGATTAGATGAGATAACAAATATTCTTTTAGCTCCTTTGTCTGCCTTCTTCTGATAAAGAGAAAAATCATCAAACCAAACACATTACCATCAATTTCAACTCACAGCGACCCTAAAGGACAGAACAGAACTGCCCCCATAGGGTTCCCAAGGAGAGTTGGTGGATTCAAACAGCCAACCCTTTGATGGGCATCCAAGTTCCTCACCACTGTGCAACCAGGGCTCCCCGATAAAGAGAAAGCCTTGAAAAATAAACTCAGATTTCCCTCTAAATTACCAAGTCTCAATCTGGCACATGTAGCACCACCAGGGGGAGCAGAGAACAAGCGTTTCAACAGGAGAACAGCAGGTTTCTGAAAACCCACTCAAATGCACTGGCAATATAATTCCTTTCTACTTCCTAAACATTATTCTAGCCTATTACCTCCTCCTGCTTATGTCAAGGAGCGCTGGTTGCACAGCGGTTAAGAGCTTGGTTGCTAACCAAAAGGTCAGCATTTCGAATCCACCGTTGCTCCTTGGAAACCCTGTGGGGCAATTCTACCCTGTCCTATAGGGTCACATGAGTTGGAATTGACTCAATGGCAATGGGTTTGGTTTTCCATTGTACTTGTGTCAAAGGAATCCTGGTGGTGCAGTGGTTACAGTGGTTGGCTGCTAACCAAAAAGTCAGTGGTTCGAACCCACCAGCCTCTCTGCAGGAGAAAGAAGTGGCAGTCTGCTTTTATAAACATTTACCATCTTGGAAACCGTATGGGGCAGTTCTACTCTGTCCTATAGGGTTGCTATGAGTCAGAATTGACTTGACAACAATGAGTTACTTTACGGCAAAGGAGTCCCTAGGTGGCACAAATAGTTAACATACTCAGCTGCCAACCAAAATGTTGGAAGTTCTAGTCCACCCAGAGGTGCATTGGAAGAAAGGCTTAGAGACCTCTTCCAAAAAATCAGTCACTGAAAGCCCTATGGAGCACAGTTCTACTCTGACATACATGGCATTGCCATGAGTCAGAGCCGACTGAATGACAACTGGCGACTGGTAGTACTTATGCCATATGAGGAGTTTACTATTCTCAGTATTGCTCAATGACCATGATACCACACAAAGAGCCTCAACTGTCTTATAGAGTAAAACTCCATTAACTCAAAATTCAATATTCTAGAATTTGACTAGGGTTGTTCTGAAATTTACCTAAATTCCATATATGTAAAGAGAGTGACTGTGGAGTTTTGTTGTGTTTCTTCCTGTATGTCCCCGGTTTTAAGTGTGGGGTTGCTATACACACTGATGCCATAATTACTTAGTCAAGGAGCTCCAGCAGGACCTGCCCTTGGTCGTTGGTCAAATGATGCAGAACATGGACTTCCACCTAAGTGTAATCCAAACAACTATCAAGTTCACGTCTATGATTTAAGCAAACAAATAAACAAGTTCACATCAGGAATTTATTTTTAAAGAGTAATATTTAGGGTATGTCATGAAATCCATGTAGTTTTATCCCCCATCTTCCTGATGCTCTTCAAACAACATTTAAAAAAGTTGCTGACAAGTTGATTCTGATTCACGGCGACCTCATGTGTGTCAGAGTAGAGCTATGCTCCATAGGGTTTCCATGGCTGATTTTTCAGAAGCAGATCACCAGGCCTTTCTTCTGAGGCACCTCTGAGCAGACTCTAACATCCAACCTTTCAGTTAGCAGCCAGGCTCTTAATTGTTTGCACCTCATGGGGACTCCTCAAGTTGACTCAGATACATTACTCTACAGCAACATCTGATGTTCACAATGTTGAAGCTGAAGGAGTAGAAGGTTTGGAGTCACACTAATCACTGAGGAAAATTAAATTATGTTCAGTATATTTTTTAGTGTTAAATATATGTCATTTTATTTTAACTCCCTGAAAACTGGTAATCTACACATGATACATAACTCTTACTTAAGCAAAGCCAGAAACATCATTCCTTAATTATTTTGCCCAAATGGTAGTTTATTGTACTTGAAAATAATAAGATGACATTTCTTTTAAAATACACCAAAAGTGGAACTTTCTCCTGAGTCGGACTAGTGTCCCCCCATGGTTCACATTAGTGAGTTTTTATCACGTTATTCATAGGCCTTGTTACGTGATTTGATGTTATTAATGAACCTTGTACTTGTATCTCTCCTAAGACACTTGATAACTCAAACAGTTGGTATTTAAGGATGGTTAGTGGGTTCGTCTACACATGATTCACTTTTTACCTTATGTTCATCCAAGCCTGGCATCTACACTAGTAATAACTCTTCCAATTTGAATTGCAAAATTTTTCATTTAAAATGAGACATCCATACATTTAAATTCTCTTTTTTGAATAATTTTTATCTCCCTAGAAAACTGTTAGATTTCAGCATAGATTACTTAAATTTTATTTCCATGATCATGGACGTAAGTTTCACCCTAAGAGACGCTGAATTACAAGAAGCTAAATTGATGGAGTCCCTGGGTGGTGCAAACGGGTTCAGCGCTTGAGTACTAGCTGAAAGTTTAGCTGTTTGAATCCACTCAGAGGCACCTTGGAAGATAGGCTGGGCCATCTGCTTCCTAAAGGTCACAGTCTTGAAAACCCTTATGGTTCAGTTCTACTCTGCACGCACATGGGATCGCCATGAGTCCGAACTGACTCAGTGGCAACTAACAACAAATAGATGGCTCCCTCTTAGTTGCACTTTGTCTATTTAGCAATTTTCAAAAGGCAAGAGGACTGCTTCAAGAAATAGCTCTTTGTTTGGAAGCATGCGGCAATCATTATTAAAACTAGAATTGCTTGAATATCACGTAAACAATCAGATTAAAAACATGTAAAGTGTATCATTATAAGTCCACTGTGACTACAGGCAGTTGGTTGCCTTTCCTTTTAGATCACTTGCTCATATGCGATGGAATAATGAATGTTTAGCTTACATTCCAAGTCTCGTTCGTTGCAACCTTGTATCTCATTTCACAGGAAACCTTTTCAATGGTCGTTTGACTATTCCAATGAATTATCGTCTTGGGCACGGTGGTATTTATATTTTCAGCCCTGGAAATGATGGATGCAGAAGGTATCACTAGGGGGCAAAAACAAACAAACCAACCAGCGGTTTAAAACTTGTCCAGGAAGAAACCAGATTAAAAACATGTAAAATACTCCAAGTATATTTTAAAAAATCTCATCTAATTTAGAGCTGATGAATTGTTTCTTATTTTCATATCTATTATGTAGGAGAAAGAAGCCCTGGTGCCATAGTGGTTAAAGCACTCGGCTGCTAACCAAAAGGTTGGCGGTTCAAACCCACAGCCGCTCAGTGGGAGAAAGATGTGGCAGTCTGCTTCCATAAAGATTTACAGCCTTGGAAACCCTATGGGGCATTTCTACTCTGTCCTATAGGGTCGCTATGAGTCGGAATTGACTAGATGGCAATGGGTTTGTTTATTTGTATGTTTTGATGTAAGAGAACACTACAGCTATTAAGTAAAATTCTATTCAGCCCATTCTCCATATTTTTAAACTGAATTCCAATAGTCTTGTTCCCGTCACCTACCCCCAATAATCCTAACTAATGAAATTCCACAGCCTACGCTTTATTAACAAAAGAATCTAAAAAAAAAAGAGTTAAAGAAGATGTCTTCTCTTCCCTGCGTCTGTGGAGGGAGAGATGTTGGTTTCCATTCTAAATTTAGTTCAGAGAATCTGATTTGATAAAATGTTATTTTGAGAACTTTCACAATAATATTATTCTTGTTTTCTTGTGTAATATGGAAACACATATGAATACTTACACCATTAGCTAACTTTGTTTGTTCTCCATTAAAATGAATCTGTCGTTGAAAGTACAATTTGAACAAAGCTGGTCTCATAAGACTCTACAAATTGTCATGTTGTATGATAACAACCTTCAAAACGTAACTGAAATTCTGACTTGTTACCTTATTTGTTGTTTTGTTGTACTAGGAATAAGGGTATAATTGGCATCTCTATATTTCTAAACTGTATAAAAAGTCTTGTAAGGTTGTTCTCTCTGATCAGAACAGAATCATTGGCACTTTCCATTTCTACCAGATATATGAAGAAACAATGAAAATCTATAACGTTGCTGGATGTATTATTTAACAAAGAACTAAGAAGCTATGTGTATGTTTTTAGGGACCGTTGTTACAGCTTAGTATTGTCTATTAATTAGTTTTCTTTTCATTCATTCTAAGTTTATAAAGTATGCTTTGGGAAGATTGTTGTTTTATTAGCAATGACTGCTATTATTTAAAATTATGTGTACAGGTAGGTGACTTATGGAAAAATACAAAAAAAGAAAGGTTTGCTGTCTAGTAGCACCAAAGAACCCATTGCTGTTGAGTTGATTCCCACTCATAGGGACCCTATAGGACAGAGTAGAACTGCCCCCAAAGGGTTTCCAAGGAGCAGCTGATGGATTTGAACTGCCAACTTTTTGGTTAGCAGCTGAGCTCTTCACCACTGCACCAACAAGGTTCCTCTAGTAGCATAGTCCTACAATAAAATCTTGGGACAAAACTTTACACAAGACAGCAGTAGTAGCAGAATTAATCGAAGAGTTTACTATACTAAACTTCAATTATCTGAATCCCGTAGCTGATCTCCTTTTGCTAATGTAAGCATCTTGTAATAAAAAACAGCACTTAGAGAATTCTAGAGCCAGGGAAATGGGTCTCCAGAACTTCAAGGACCACTTATACACGCTCAGGTTGATAAACTACCACCATTTTTACCTCTCCCAAGAAGCCCTGGTGTCACAACCGTTAAGTGCTTGGCTTCGTAGCTCTGTGGGAGAAAGACCTAGCGATCTGCTCCCGTAAAGATTACAGCCTGGAAAACCCTTTGGGGTGGTTCTACTCTGTCATATGAGGTTACTAGGAGTTGAAATCAACTCACAGACCTAACAACAACAACCACCTCTCCCACTTCTGAGTTTGGCCTAACCACTGGGATAGCAGCACACTCCTTCTCTTGCAGAAAGAAATATTCTGGGGAGGAAACAAAAACCTGTTTAGTCCAATGAGAAATGCAGCTAGCACAATAAGGCAGGTTTAAGATAGGGTCTTAGCACAGAGCAGGTCAACTCAGTAGAGAGCTGGGCCTTTAGTTTTGAATGAGCTCATATTTTTGTAAATAAAAAATGTCAGTCATATAATATGCAGTTGAATCTGCACTTTGTTACACAAAACTCAGATGTTGAATTTTTGTACTTATTTCTTAGGTTTCAAGCATTTCTACTAGATCTTACATTTAAAAAAAAATCTGTCAAATCCATCATAGATGTGATATTTTTAGTTCACACTTGTACTGAAATAAAGAACCGGATTATAGTTGTTTTGGTATCTTTTCAACAACACATATTTATCCACATTTATACAACAGGGAGAATTAATGTTCAAAACAACAGCAGAAGACATTGCACTTTCTGTATGGAAATTTATTTCTCTTCAAAAGAAGTTTCCAGCATTCCTCACACGTCATCCTGGTACAGTGTTACTGCACTAGGAACTCCACCTCCTCTTCCAGCGCTGACTTCCTAATGTAATTAAAGCCCGATCCTCCAGCTATTATGTGGAAATGGATCCCAGGAGAGTCTTCTGTCCTCAGTTTTATAGAACAGTTCATTTATTTAACTTTCTATGTCTAATTCCTAAAGTGCCTCAAGTGAAAACTACTCATCCATTCTGTAATTACCTCGTGGTTTTGTTGACCGGAGCCTCCTGAACAGTCAACCTGTGTTTTTCCACCTGAGTTTCTGACAGTCTATTTTGGGATAATGAGAGAGAAGAGAAAAAAGAAGAGAAGCAAAGGAGAAGGAAGGGAAGGGAAGTGGGGGAGTGGGGAGGGGGGAGGGAAGGAAAAGGAAAGAAAAGAAGTGAAAGGAAAGGAAACGAAAGGAATAATTCTTAACAAGAGGTCCCCTGGTTTGCAGTATGAAAGGTCAGATTTCGAGGTTGTGGCCAGGTGAGATTTTCCCTTTGTGGAAAGTGGAATGGGTAGTAGTTACCAACACTGGATTTTGGAGTCAGCAAGTATGGGCTCAAATCTGGCTCTCTTCTTTACTAGCTATGTGACCTTGAGTGAAGTATTTTATCTCTTTCAGTTTTAGTTGCTTGTATTTTTAGTTCTCGCATCTGTAAAATGGAGACAGTGGTACAATGTATTGTAGTTTCCGGAGTTAAACGTGATGTTGTATGTTAAATGTCTGGTACACAATAGGTGTGGAGGCAATGATATTAAGATCATAACGATAATTACAATAGTAATATTACCACGAACAAAATTTTAGTTCCTAAAAGGACACTGCCAAAATGATGCCCAACATGGTAACCTAGAGGACAGAGTAGAACTGCCCCATAGGGTTTCCAAGGAGCAGTTGGTGGATTTGAACCGCTGACTTTTTTTTTGATTAGCAGCCCTATCACTTAACCACTGTGACATCAGGGCTCCTAATAACCTTTAACATCATTAATCCATCAAAGGGAATGCATTTTAAGAAAAGGACATGTTTCTACGTCTTATTATTCATCACCATAGTCAGCAGTGTTTGTTTTCAAATCCAATATTCAGAACATAATGACAGATTTTTAGACCCATCACTTAAATCCTATTCTAAAACAAACAAACAAAAAAAACACAAACCCATTGCCATGGGTTGATTCCAACTCATAGCAACTTTATAGGACAGAGTAGAACTGCCCCATAGAGTTTCCAAGGAGCAGCTGGTAGATTTGAACTACCGACCTTTTTTTTTGGTTAGCAGCCAAGCTCTTAACCACTGCACCACCAGGACTCAAATCCTACTCTAGGTTAGCTGAAATAGAAGACCCTACTAATTCCCAAGGGGTACCTGTGTGGTACCCCCCAAGAGAAGGCTTCACCTCCCCTGGACCATTAACCAGCAGGAAAGTTGTCAGACACATTGGAATCTGGTCCCCACGCCGCCCCCATAGAGACTGAGGATAGGAGCCAAGGATATTAGGATTAAAAGCTCCTTATCGCTACCATCTCAAATTTTTAAATATCATTGAGCCCCAGTTTCCTCATGCATATGTTATAATCTTTTTGACAAAATAAGGTTGTTGTGAGGCTTAAATAAGATAATGTATGTAAAAGTATTTAGCACATAAGAAAGTGCTCAATAAATATTATCTTACTGAAATCATCCTTAATAATTATCATGACAACAACAGGAATAATTAGCGCTAAGATCTCTAAATACAAGTTGATTTGTAATTGGTGCTCTTTGGCTGAACTCTGGCTGTAGGACAAGGATGTAATTGTAAAAGGCTCAAGGGCAATTACACTTTTTGGAATTTATCTTAAGGAAACAACAAAGAAATATGCAAAAATTTAGCCACCAGGATATTCATGGCAGTTTAGTTTATAAGGATGAAAAACTGAAAAGAGCCTAAATCTCCAACAATAAGGGATTGGTTTAACTAATATATATTCAGACAACATTAAAAATAATATTGTAGATTAAATTAATAGAAATGTTTATTACATTTTAAGTAAAAAAAGTCAGAGTCTAAAAATATCTGAAGCAAAAAAATGTTAACATTTGTTAAACCTGGCTAGTGAACATAGAGATGGCTACATAATTCTCTGCAGTTTTCTATGTATTTTGCAAAACTTTTCAAAATAAAAACAAACAAAAGCAGAGGTTCCAAAATAGGGTATATAATCCTTTAGCACCCTGTGCTGCTCACAATATAAGACCCGTTAAAACAAACAAAAAGCCCAACCTGTTGCTGTCAAGTTGATTCCGACTCATAGTGACCCTATGGGACAGAGTAGAACCACCCCATAGGGTTTCCAAGGAGCGGCTTGTGGATTTGAACTGCCGACCTTTTGGTTAGCGCTGAACTCTTCTTAACCACTGCGCCGCCAGGGCTCCGTAAGACCCATTACACCTTTTTATAATCCTTGTTTCTTTCTGTCTTCCCTGGTAGATTGCAAGCTATTTTAGGGCAGGTACCTTGTTTATCTTATTCTTCCTAGCACTTGAACAACGCTTGGTACGTAAAAAGCTCTTAATAAATTTGTAAACATACATACATGTAGAAATAAGATTGGAAGGATATATATCGAAATGGTAGCAATGCTTCTCTCTAAATTGTCTCTAGGAGGCTCACAAAGACAAAAGTGTGGTAGAATTATGGGTAATTTTTTATTTCTTTATTACGACCTTCAAAGACTTTAGGGGAACTTCACGAGCACAAATTAGTTGTTTGCTATTAGAGATTCATATAGTTTTTTATTTTTTACCTATATCGTCCAGGTGAATTTGCAGCTGTTCTGACTCCTCCATGCCGAGCACATTTGCGGCTTGAACCCAAACCACATACTTCTTGCCGCCTTGTAATGAGTCAATGGAGATATTAATATAGTTTGAAGTGAGATATTGTTGTTCTTCTTTGGTCTCTAAACTAAAAAAAAAATAATAATAATAATAATGATCACAAGTTATGTCTGGTTTGAATTAACTATTTGACTTTTTTGATGCTACCTTTTTCAGCATGCTTTTGGATATGCAACCTTTTCCTGAAAAGGAATTGAAATTAATATCATTTTGAACATTTTTTAAAGCAAATTTCAAGACTAGCCAGGGCCAACATATGACCTTCATAGTCCCTAAGCACTTTTGCTTTCATGAACCTCCACTTTGCCAAACATGATGTCCCTCTCTAGTTATTGGTTTGTCCTGATGATGTGTCCAAAGTAAGAAAGACAAAGTCTCACCATCCTTGCTTCTAAGGAACATTCCGGTTGTATTTACTTTAAGACTAATTTGTTTCCTCTTCTGGCAGTCCATACTATATTCACTATCTTCACCAACACTACAGTGGTCTAAGCCCTATGTTATCTGTTCATTATATTATTTATAGATTCCTAAGTTAATTGTATTCACTGTGAAACCTACCTTGATAAAGATATGTGAATTAAGAAGGAAAATAACCTTGAAATTTGAACAATGGTGAAAAGTCAGTCACCCTCCATTATTTTTAACAAATGGAAATGCTTCACAGATTTGCATGTCATCCTTGATCAGGGACCATGTCCATCTTCTTTGTACTGTTCCAATTATATTGTACTGCTGAGGCAAGCAGTGACTTGAATTTCTTTTTCTACTGCCATCAACTGTGCTCTGTCCCAAAGGACTGCCTTGATAGGAAAGAAAGAGTTTAAAAATCACTAGCATTTCCATCCGTAAGGCTCCACTCCAGGTCCTGTTACTACTATGGGTCCATTCAGCAACTCTTGAATTTCTTCCTGTTGCTCTTGAGTCAATTCCGACTCATAGTGACCCTATAGGACAGAGTAGAACTGCCCCATGATATCCCAGCTAGGTGTATAAATTGCCAGCCCCTTAGATCTTCCAGAATCCAGAGACATTCCTACTAAGACACGGAACTCCAGAGAGGAAAAGAGGAACCAACTTTACAGCTATCAAGCAATAAATGTATTATGAATCAAAATACTATAGAATGATACCCTTCTGTATTTTTTTTTTTTTTTTCAAATTTATCGCCACTACCAGAACAGCAGAACCTCAGCTGGTGTTCAAGGAATCTCTCTAAGGCTAACGGGGCAGTGGTAAGGGGAATTACATAGCATGCAGGCAGCAGCAGCTACTTTAGTTCGCCTCAGGTTTTAAGTTACAGTGGTGGTACCAACGGTTAACGTGCTTACTTACTAACCAATAGGTTGGAAATTTGAGTCCAGAGGTGCCTCGAAAGAAAGGCTTGGCAATCTACTTCCAAAAAATCAGCCATCGAAAATCCTATGGAGCAGAGTTCTACTGTGATATACATGGGGTCACTATGAGTTGGAATCAACTCAATGGTATCTCGTTTACTTGTGAAACATTCCCAATGCAATGTTTCATTCTATTTTACATAAGCTTGCCATGAGTTGGAGCCAACAAGACAGCAACTAACAACAAATCTCTGTCCCCATGCCAGCAGTGAGATCCCTGTCAACACTATGAGAAGGCAAGAAGGAGAGGCAGCACACCATGGTGACTCAAAGCATGTTGTTTGTTGCTGTCGAGTCTGAAAGTGACCTTTTGGAAGCAGATCACCAGGCCTGTCTTCTGAGGCGTCTCTGGGTGGATTTGAACCGACAACCTTTCAGCTAGTAGTCGAGTGCTTTTAACTGTTTGCACTACCCAGGGACTCCAGGATTGGGTTTTCAGAGACAGATTTGCATTCAAATCCTGACTCTGCCACTTGATAGATTTGGAGCAAGCTACTTAACCTCTATATGCTTCAGTTTACTCATCTGTGAAACAGGGTAAATAACATTGTTGTTATCATAAGTAAAGGAAAGAAGAAAGTCCACAGCAGTTGGCTTTACAGGTAATAAGAGGCTCATTAACCTACACCATCATTATTGTGAATTAAAAGTATGACATGCGTCTTTAACACACTCTAAAGAATATAGATGAAACCTCTAAAATGGGTATATTTCAGCAAGTGAAATTTCCTTTATATTGCTTGTATCTAAAGTCAAATTAGGCCATTAAATTCAGGCGTTTACATGGTTGCCTTATATTCTTTCTGAAACAAGATGGAACATAAATAAACTGAGAACTTATTCTAAGGTATGTGAACCACCTGCTAAATAAGAATTCAAATGTGAAAATAAGAAAATGGCAACTAAGGGAAAGCAGTAAGTAGGGCATGATTTTCCAGTTAGAGAAAACCACATATGTGCATGTTCTTAATTGGTTTGTGGCTGATTCTTTCATCATATATGTTGAGACCACAAGTCAAAATGGAAATGTGTTCTCAAACCTACATTAACCGTAGTTACTAGGTGGTTTGATTCTGCTTTGAAAGTCTACCTTTATATTAGCACCTAGACCACAAAGCACTATTTTAGATGAAGAAATCAATAATAATGACTGGCTATACTTTAGGACAATTTTTACATACAACTGTATATTATACGGAGCCCTGGTGGCGCAGTGGTTAAGAGCTCAGTCTGTTAACCAAAAGATCGGCAGCTCGAATCCACCAGCCCCTCCTTGGAAACCCTATGGGGTAGTTCTACTCTGTCCTACAGGGTCACTATGAGTCAGAATCGACTCGATGGCAACAGGTTTGGTTTGGGTATATCTTCATGTGTTCTAATATATAACAGATTATTTGTTCAAGGGTCCACATGGCTTGTACTTCTTTGAAGTTTCGCCTGCACCTAGCCCTAGTTGTAGTTAAAAAATTTTCAACAAACACTGCTGATTTAAGGTGAATAGTGTCGCCCATTTATTTAATCATTCATTCAAAAAATATTTATTTAACACCACTATGTTCCAAGCAAGGAGCCTTGGTGATGCAATGGTTAAGCACTCAGCTGCTAACTGAAAGGTTCGGCTCCGTGGACGACGTGGTGACCTGCTTCTGTAAAGATTATCCAAAAAATGAGTTACCTAGAAAACCCTGTGGGGCAGTTCTACTCTGTTGCAGGGGTCGCTATGAGTCATCATTGACCCAATGGCACCCAGCAACAACAATACGTTCCAAGTAGTATTCCCTGGTTCGTGTAAATGATTAACACAACTGGCTGCTATCTGAAAGGTTGGCAGTTGGAGTCCACTCAGGGGTACCTTGGAAGAAAGTCCTGGTGATCTACTTCTGAAAAATCAGCCACTGAAAACCTTATGGAGTACAGGCCTACTCTGACACGCTTGGGGTTGCCGTGAGTTGGAATCAACTTGAAGGCAACTGTTTAGTTTTGTTTTTTGGATGTTCCAAGCACTGGTTTAAACACAGAGGATGCAATAATAGACGAAACAGTTAAAGCTCCAACCTCATGGAGTACACATTCTGGTGGAAACAAATAACGATATAAAATGTTCTGTGGTGATTAATGCTCAGAAGAAAAATATAGCAGAGTAAATGGGTTAGGAAGTGCTGGAGGGAAGGAGGGGTGATTATTTTAGGGAACTGGGGAAGCCCTATCCAAAAAGGTGAAATTAGAGCAGTAAAGTAGCAAGTCCTGTGGCTATCTCAAGGAAGTGCAATGAGAAAAACAAGTGCAAAGGCCCTGAGGCAGGAGCTTGCTTGGCCTGTTCAAAGAACATCAAGGAAGTCAGTAGGGTGAGGGAGATGGAAAGGGATTAGAGATGAGATCAGATATGTTGGGGGAGGGGGAGATTTAGAAGGCCTTATAAGGTTGCCTAAGGTCATTGAAAGATTTTGGCTTTCATCTGAGTGGATAGGGAAGTTTTCAGCAGAGAAGTGACATAAAACTGAGGTGCATGTGAAAAGAATTACTTTGGCTACTTGGAATAAAGGACCATAGGGGAGCAAAAGTGGAGGCTAGAAGACCAGTCAGGAGGTTCTTAAAATAATCCAGGTGAGTAAAGGAGAAAGAAGAACACCAAAGTCACAAGGAAAGTATTAGCCCAAGAGACAGAAACGGCCACATAAACCAGAGACTTCATCAGCCTGAGACCAGAAGAACTAGATGGTGCCCGGCTACCACCAATGACTATCCTGACAGGGAACACAACAGAGAGTCCCAGATGGAGCAGGAGAAAGGTGGGGTGCAGAACTCAAATTCTAGTAAGAAGACCAGACTTAATGGTCTGAATGAGACTCAAGGGACCCCGGAAAGCATGGCCCCGGGATTCTCTATCAGCCCAGAACTCAAATAATTCCCGAGGCCAAGTCTTCAGACAGGGATTGGACTGGATTCTGGGACATGAAGTGATACTCATGAGGAGTGTATCAAGTAGATACAAGAGACTAAACCGGCAGCTTCTGTCCGGAGGTGAGACGGGAAGTCACAGAGAGTTAGGAGCTGTGTCATGGTTTGAATTATGTCCCCCCAAAAATGTGTGTATCAGTTTGGCTAGGCCATGATTCCTGGTACTGTGTGGCTTTCCTGTATGTTGTAAACCTGCCTCTATGATGTTAATGAGGGAAGATTGGTGACAGTTGTGTTAGTAAGGCAGGACCTGATCTACAAAACTGTATTGTATCCGAGGCAATCTCTTGAGATATAAAAGACAGAAATGGGCAGTGAGACAGGGGGACCTCATACCATCAAGAAAGCAGTGCCAGGAGCAGAGCGCATCCTTTGGACCAGGGTCCCTGCACAGAGAAGCTCCTAGTCCAGGGGAACACTGAAGAGAAGAAGGCCGACAGAGAGAGAAAGCCTTCCCCTGGAGCTGGTGCCCTGAATTTGGACTTTTAGCCTACTTTGACTGTGAGGAAATAAACTTTTTTCGTTAAAACCATCCACTTGTGTTATTTCTGTTACAGCAGCACTAGATGACTAAGACAAGCTGGTTGAATAGACATTGGGAATCAGGGGTGGAAAGGAGGAGTGTGCTGTCACAGTATGGGGAGAGCAATTAGGGTCACATAACAATATATAGAGATTTTTGTATGAGAGACTAACTTGAAATGTAAACTTC